ATAAATCCATGGTAAATTATGTCGATTTGTAGATTGAAAAGCCTTCTGACTGTCTCGTTGCACACAGTGTTTCTCCTGCTTGGCTTTAAACTAGTTTAACTCACCGAGTCATTTGTGTTCATCGCTGAATTCAAGCGCTTCACACTGGATCTCACAGCGCTGCTTAATGCTTGCGTGACCGAGTAAACGCATTTGCTCTAGTGAGCTCGCGCTGCGTGGCAGTTTGAACTGTGATCCGAGCGGATAAACGGTCCGTGTGGCGCGATTCAAATGAGTCGCGCTGTTTCGTTCCGCTTTTGGCGCATAAACATTATATCGAACATTTATCGAACTCTTCATATCGTTTTATCGAGGAAAATTATATTGCGATAATTATCATTATTGAATTATCGCCCAGCCCTATCAGTGAGATTAATGGAGTATTTTTTTTCATACAAATTTTGAGAGAAATTCTCAGTTCATTCAAAGCCTCAATCCATTCCATTTCATTGCTATCTATAAGAAACAACTGAGATATTAAAAGAGATCTCATTTGTGATTTTCAGTACACTACATTCAAATACAAGTCTTTATTATCGGTATACTTACATGATATAAAGTAGCAGATTAGAGTCTATTCTAGCATTTTATAATTCCAGCATATGTTGAAGTGTCATATTTCATATTGAAAAAACTAAAAGCAACATCACAGGCTGAAGTGAGAGGTGCTTCTATCAAAGGGCACCGGAACAGTCCTTTTCTTCCCAAACCATAAGAGAGTATGAAGAACGAGATCAAGACAGGGGAGCTGCCATGAAAGACAGATGCATCAGCATATCTGCTTCCTTCTCCGTCCATTTGGCAGTAAACGATTGCGCAGATCCCCGCTGCGGGCTGTCACTTAAAAGAGGGCTTTCTATTTTTATTAGTAGTTAAAGTGAAGGAGCTGTCAGCAGGGACAATAGCGGCCATGTTAATAAATAAAAATAATAACTATTACGGTGCTGTTGTGAGAGAGAGGGAGAAAGTGACATACTGAGACAGAAAGAGAGAGAGAGCAGGCAGGGGGGGATAGACGGAGTGGCCATTTGTTGAAACCTTTCGCTTGTCAAAGCTCTCGGGCTTAAAAGCCTCTGTCATTGTTACGCACCGATGCCAGAATAGAGGAAAGAGAGAGAGAAAGCCGAGGGCTAATAACACCTGTTGGGGTGACAGTGAGACAGCTGTCAGTAGAAACAGCAGCAGTGAAGGTGATTGGCTGAACGGTGTGGGAGTGTGTCCATAAACCAAAGGCTGTGTCTTTTACAGGCCTGAAACTGTCAAACTTTGAAGTCCAAAGGCGAGACCAGGAACACAGAGGATATTCAGAAATACTCAAGAGACAAGAATGCGATAAACTTTAAATTGCAGACATGCCACTGAGGAAGTTTGACCACTAATCAGACATTAAATATTTGGCAAGTCTTCTTCTATTTGGCAAGTCTTTGAGTGTAAGTGTGTGCTGTACAGTCTATCAGTCGCAAAGACACAGGTTAGTGCTTAGTGTTTTAACTCCAGCTGAATTGGTAATCGTGCCACCTGGTGTTTTTACTTTGGTGGAGAAGTGTTTAAGTGTGTGTGTGTTTGCTTTTGAAGTTGTGCATATTCATATTCTGAAGGCTTTAGTGATTAAGATTTAAATGAGATGTTTTTAAAGACACGATTTATCACATAAAATCATATGGTATCAAACCTTTGACCTTCAAATTGCAAGCATCATGCTTTACTATTTGAGGTATCGGATGAATAAAAAAAAAAATGAAGACGGGAAATGGAAAAGAAAAGTAAAAGGAAATCATAACTGAATGTAGAGTTCATGCACATGTGTATTTAAAGTTTTTGCTTATGCTTTTGAAAATGTGAATTTTCATATTCGGAAGTGTTTAGTGATTAAGATTTAAATGAGCCTGAATACAGAAGTTAAATGAGAGAAAGATGTTTTCAGCATACAGTTTGTCATATAAAGATATATAGAACTGAACCCATGACATTGCTGTTGCAAGCGTCATGCTTTGCTTTTTAAGCTACAGGATGAAGAATAACAAAAATAAATCAATAAAAATTTGTAAAATAAAATTGTAATTGAATGTAAAGTTAGTTTGTATGTATTTTTGCATTTTTTTCGATGTCAATTTTAATATTCCAAAGGGTTTAATGATTTTTAAAGATGTTTTTCAAACATGATTTATCACCTTAAATAATATGGGATTGAACCCATGACCTTGTCATTGCAAGTGTAATGCTTTACTATTTGAGCAACAGGATGTAGAATGACAAAAAGTATAAAAATTAAACATAAAGGAAAAGGAAATCACAACTGAATTTAAAGTTGTGTGTGTGTCATTTCTCAACCTGCTAAAATACTGACCGCTGTCATTTACCACAAATACACACCTTGTGTTTCTCTTTCACTCTTTGTGTCTCCCTCTTTCTCTCATTTTGTTTCATATCGCAGTTAATTGTTGTGATGGTGATGCTGGTATGTGTGTGTGTGTGTGTGTGTGTGTTAGAGAGGAATACAGAGGGGGGTGTTGAGAGTTGTTTTAATTTTCCTCTCTCTCTCTTGTTTGAGACGTCCGTCCTTGGCAGGTTAGTAATTAGCGTGTGGGGTGGAGGGGTTAGCGGGTCCGCGGGGTGTATTAGAAAAGCAAAACGCACAGCCTCGATAATGTGTCCATTGTTACCCGGTGCATTAAGAGCCTCTTTGTGTTAGCTGGAGCATAGGGCTAATGATTGGCTAACAGCAGGTGAGGAAGCCGCTCAACTCTCTCTCTCTCTCTGTCTTTCTCTCTCCATCCTCTCTTCCTCCTGCCCTACTCTTGGTGCCATTAGAGAGACGGGCCTTTATTACAGCAAATGGACTTTAAATGAGCTATATTGTGATGTTGCCTGCCTGTGGTAATTCTCTCTCTCTCTCTTTCTTTCTTTCTTTCTCTCTCTCTCCCTCTCTCTCTGTCTCCCCTCCAGAGGCCCCCAGTATTGAGAGGCTGTTGTCTAAGGACTGGAAGGACAAGATATTGGCCATGGGTTCTGGCAACTTTGGAGAGATCAAAGGTAAAACGAAAGACTTTGTGTCTTCATGTGACCTCAGAATGTATGCATGTTGTGTTTAACGGTTGATATATCTGTTGTGTCTCTTTTTTAGTGGTACAAAACCAAAGTATTCGCTGTTTCCATTGGCAGTTGAGTCACAAGAGCTGGTTTTGCGGTTCTAGATTCTAATAATCACAGCTATAATTGTACGTATCAAATGTCACCTTAGACATCTTCAAGCGCTCCGAGAGCTCAGGTATGCTAATCCACCTAGCGCTAGCCTCTTCGCCAGCCCCGGTTAATGATCTGCCGGGATGACTTGCTAAGCAACAGCCTCGCTCATGTTAGCACGGTTAATGATACATCCTGTTAGGTCACTCAGCCATAGCGAGAACACACTCCACTGTCACTTTAACAAGCCTCCATACACCTTCCTCACGCTAGCGGCGTTCGCGGGGCTAACTCGGGAGTGAATGTATTTCATTAAGCGGCTCAGAAATATTTAATCAAACGAAGCTTGTTCTCGCTCCTGGAGCAGAAAAGGGAGCGCCATTGATCAAGCCGTCGGTGCGGTAACCCTACTGTGTTGACATTTCAGTAAGAGAGCATCCCCGCCACGACCACCGTTGACTAGCTGTTGGACAGGGCCCTCGCCACTGTCCCGTCTCTGTGTGTGAATACCCTTTAAGATCAGAAATGGACGCAGATATATACAAACTAGTAGGTCGTTTTAAATTAGGTGCTGAAAGCAGACTTTTTTTATATTACACATAAAATGTACTGATAGCAAACAAGAAGTCAGAGGGATGATTGACATATTTTTAACCAATTAGAAACATTGAATCATTTTGTATGTTCACGTTTGGCTTTGCTGAGACGTCTTTGGGAATGGGTTTTTGGCGAGAGGGTGTTTTGTCGAAATGGTGGAAGTTTGCAAAACTGCTTAAATTGCTCCTAGCAAATTCATTACAAGCTATTTTGCCACTAACAGGTATTTTCCCATGAAATTAAACCAAGGTTGATCGTTAATCTCTATATTTAAAAGGGGCTTTTCACAGTGATACCATAGAAGAACCATTTTGGGTTCCCCAAAAAACCTTTCAGTAGACAGTTCTTAAAATAACCATGATTTTTTCTTAATGTGAAGAACATTTTAATTTTGTTTTTCCACTATAAAGAAACTTTTGTCCAGTAGAAATGTTCCATGATACACCATAGATGCCAATACAGAACCTTTATGGGTGGATGGGTGCTGCATAGTGACATGGTGATACAGAAATATATCATGTATTTTTGCACAACTGAAGTACAGTATTGACCAGCGTTCAGAACCAGATCTATGCATTTAATAGAACAGATGCATTGTACTTTATGAAGTCGACTAAATATATTGTACAGTAAAGAACAGCCTGTGTTAACCACATAGGAGATGATTACAGAGCAAAAGAGACAGAATGAGAGAAGAAAAGATGGAAAGAAAAGTGGTAATGGACAATAAGAGCCTCAGGCTAAGCTCTTTCTCTCCTTCTCTCCCTCATGTAACACAGCACTGTGCTGCTTTAGGGATTTATCTTTTAAGCCCAGTCATTAATTAGCAGTGAGAGCTGCTTGACAGGTATTACATTGTTACAAATTGGTTAATTACTGTGGTTTGTGACATGAGGCAAGGCAGTAAAGGCAGCCTTAGGATGTTTAGAGAGAGAGGAAACCACTTATTGATCCAAAGCTGAACTTTCAGTAGGCGAGGTAAAAAGCCTTCGGTTGTGATTGATGAGGCTGGCGTGTTTTCTTATGTGTGTGTATGAACACCTTCTGTCAACTCTAGACTTAGGGCATCTAGAGTATATTGTGTCAGAGGTCTATTCACATTTTAATGAGCGAATCTAACTGACTGCGCTAGGGATGTGCAAAGCTACAAATGCTTCTAGAATAAACTAGTTGGTAGGTAGTCTGAATGACTAGTTGGTAAACCCTATGTAATAATGGTGGTTTAGGGGTATGTCCACCAGCAATGATCGGATGCATTCACTGGAGATTTTTTTTTATTTAGTCAAAAACTGCTGGACAGGGTGCAGGGGTCTCAAGACACATTTTTAAACAATTTGACATTTTTCTATATAATGTGTTCTAACCAGGCATGACAACAATAAGGTTTTTTTTCTGCTGGCCCAGATGGGAAACAAGAAATTATTTTATTTTTAGCAACCTTTTTTTTATTTTTTATTTTTTTATGTTACGGTTTATTTACAAAGATACATACATATATTTATTAGGTTTTTATTTGCAATAATAGCTGGAAGTTATACTTTATCTCCATGAAAGCTGTGAATTCATCTACACATTTTTGTTGGAAAACAGTGTCAAACAATGCATTATTAGTTGCATAATTGATATTAAATATAAATTAAGTTTATAATATTTAAATAAATATTTAACATTTGAATATTTAAAATACTTCAATTTAAATATTTTTTAAAAAAAGTAAAGAAAAATATCTAACCATTCTAACCCATCCCCTGTATGAGCAATAGGGTCTTGGAAAGAAAGTGGGAAAGAAAGATCGCTTTGATCCCTCTTTTCTCTGGAAGACTCGTCACTTTTCACACACGGCCCTCCCTTGTCCCGGGCCGGCTGAGATACACACCCTCTTGTGAAAGCTCAGTCTGGGAGCTGTTAAGGGGAGCTGCAGGTTTATTTTTTCAACTGGCCGCCTGTGACAGTTGCCTTTATTGTGCATTGTTGAGTCTCTGTGTGTGTGTGTGTGTGTGTGTGTGTGTGTGTGTGTTTGTGAAGGGGTTACAAATGGAGCCTACTCTCACCTTCCTGCCAGGGCAAAGGTTCAGGTCAGCTGCTATGACTCCCTTCTTTCTCTAGCTTTCTTCATCATCTGTTTTTCCCTGGTGAGGAATGTGGCCTCTCAGAAGGTAGAGACCGAGAACAATGGGGGATTGTGGGGCTGCGCAGACGTGTGTCTGTGTGTGCGTGTTTTAACACCGATATATGACCTCAGACACACAATTGCACACACATGAACTCGTTAACAGACATGTGCTCATTTGGACATTTGAACGCTTTAGGGGTTTAGCACACACAGAAGCACACACATTGTTTGATTGGTGGTAGTCTGGGGTAATACCGCAGTGCAACGACATCCTGTCGAGTGATTTAGTCTTCCCCTCCTGCCGTCTGCTCTGGGGTTGCTCGTATGTCAGAGCGTTCTCAGCTTTAGCCCAGGTCGGAGGTCAGCTCATGCTAAATGTGTAGCGACGGCAAGGTAAACACCAGGGCGATAGCACATCTCAGGAGGAGCACATCTGGGTACAAGGCTTCCTCGACTGGTTCTTTGACCCTTGGCCTGTGCCCTTTAACCCCTGCAGGCACCCCGGACAGCCTGGCAGAGAAAGAGCGCCAGCTGATGGGGATGATCACACAGCTCAGCAGTCTCAGAGAGCAGCTACTGGCCGCCCATGAGGAGCAGAAGAAACTGGCCGCTTCGCAGATCGAAAAACAGCGCCAGCAAATGGAGTTAGCGAAACAGCAACAGGACCAGGTCAGCACTTATTCATCGTGTTTTGCCATGCATGTGCCATGTGTTTCTCTTTCTTTAGTTATGCACATTTCATCAGTTATTTCACATCTGATCCTAACTAGTGGTTTTTCCAATGGCTGAAGCCAATAACAATATCTGGAGGGCAGGATAGGCTAATGTAATGTTGATATATATATATGAAGTAAGTTTGTTGATAACAAATGAAGTTTACACACAAATCTAGATATTAAATAAACCTGCAAGTTCTAACCAGGTACAATGCGACATGCTTGGTGTTACACACAATGAAATCTCATCGGGAAAAATTCCTGCTCCACTTAGCTATGTATTAATCAATAAATGTGTTCTGATAGGCTGTAATTTAGTCACTTTGCAAAGCATTTTACTGTTAGAAAGAACAGAAAATAATCGATCTGATATTTGAAACTTGCCTCATAAGTAGCAGACATATTTTCAAAATTGACTATTCTGAATGGGTTAAGGAAGCCCTGTATATTAGGCTTGTTCTGGGTTCTCTCGACCCTGAGAGTACTTGTTTCTCTAAGCGGGAATTTACAATTAGGTTTTTGTGTTTATAAACAGGGGTCTTTTTTTAAACGTTGTACTGCTTTTTATGGCTGATGTTACTTTAAAGGCACATTTAAAGACAACTTTTCCGACAATGCTTTTCCAACACTGTCATCATGTTAATTAGAGCACCACTGCTAAAATATTCAAACAAAACCAAATTAGCGAACGATAAACTAGCCAGCCTCACTAATAATATAGTTTGCAGTTGGATGACCAGTAAATTAATCAACCGTTGTGACCCATTCCTTCCTATCATGTCTGATTAGGACACAGTGTTATTGTGATGAACATTTAAATCGAGCAGAACACAGAACAGTGTTATCAGTGTGTGTGTGTGTGTATGTGTGTATGAAGGAGAGGTATGGGTGTGTAACATACTAACATTCTCCACTTTGAACCACATTCACAAAGAAACCCTCTGTTCTCTCCATCCCCCTATAAGTGTGTGTGTGTGTAACATTCAGGTCCCCTCCAGCATGCAGGCAGGAGTCTAAAGGTGTTTGCATACAGAAGAGTGTGCTTTAGCTTTGTTGTGTGATAGTTGCTTCTGGGGAGCTCAGTTTTACAAAAGAAAACAGATCAGTATTAACACATATAATAACACACCCCTGTACACACACACACAATGCTCCAGGACTGGGTGCCACTCCTTGGTAAATATGTATCAAATACAAAAGCACACCCAAGAGCTTCAAACACCGTTTACCGTCACCATACAAGCATGTGACCCCTATCTGCACAAATAATGTCCTCTCTTGTTGAAAAACAGTTTGACATATCTGACAGTTTGACGTGTTCTGTCCACAGATTGCACGACAACAGCAGCAACTTCTGCAGCAACAACACAAAATCAACCTCCTGCAGCAACAGATCCAGGTGAGTCTTCATATAGATGTGTTATGTCCACTCGTAGACTTGTATACATGTTTTGCGTTTATGCTTTTAAAGAGGTATGTTTGTGAGATGTCACAATGCGAGTGACTTGTCACCGTCACCATGGGGTTTCATGACAATCAAACGTTGTTGTCCACCAATCAGCAATCAACCCCCCTCAACCAATCATTAACGAGCATCAGTGCTGGTATCCAGAGTCCATACTCGTAGTCCTTTTGTAGAACAATCAAAATGTAGCTACAGAAACAAAGACAAAGCAACATTATGATGGAATACTATACTTCTAATTTTAAGGCAATCCGTAATGTATTATGACATCCTCAGTAGAAAAAAATCATTCAAGATAAATGACAGATTCAAGAAACTTTGATTAAAATATAAACACATCTTAAGCAAAAAGTTTCAATAATATAAAAAAATAAATAATAAAAAAGTCTAATTAAGAATAGCCTAATGAGATTCAATTTCGGTTAATATGCGGCCTAAAAAGATAGCTGCCTATAGACAGGCAGCTTAATAAGTTTTTAAAAATAGTGTATTTAGACATAGCAATCATGCAAACTATGATTTAAATGAATCTTTAAAAAAATGTGTAGGGAATGCCCTAATGGCTGGTAAAGGAGCTTGTAGAAAACTAAAAACAGACACTTTTTGATGGGTTTGTCCCTGCTGACTTATACATAGGGCAGAGAGACACTGGCCTGCTTTGTGTGTGCAGGTGTGAAGCGAATAAAGGCTTTGTGTGCAAGAGGAGATGAGATGGGTCTAATTTGGTTGATAAAATGAGACTTAGCCTTGAGAGGGACTCTGGCAGTTTTGGCCAGGAAGCCACATCACACTGAGACTATTCACACACACACACACACACACACACACACACAGTTCACTCCCGTCCGCTGGACCCCTGCCATTCTCTTTTAGTGACTGACTGTGTGTGTGTGTGTGTGTGTGTGTGTTGCAGCTGTTTTTGTTTGTGTGTCCATGTTCATACTACACAGCTTAGCCTGAACATGTGTATGTGAGACTTATCTGTGTCTATTTCAAAATCCGCATCAGCTCATGTCTGTATGTGTGTCAGTAGAAGCTGTGTGTGCGTCAGTCCCTAAAACACGTACGCTTGGGTTTCTCTAGCCCCGCTCGTCGCTCACAGAAACAAAACTTCTTTTTCCCATGACTTTGCAACCTTTTCCCAAACAAGCACTTCTCCATTCAGCCCAGCGGAACAATAGTTTCTCACAGTCAACACGGGAGGAGGCGGAGGGGCGCGAGAGGAGGAGACCCTTGTTATGGGCCAATCATATATTAGCCCTAAAAACACACATTTGACTTGTGTCTAACACACAGGCCGCTAACATACTGTGAGCAAACACTTGCGTCAGAGACAAATATAGCAGTCCTGAACTTTGAGTATGTTTAGAGTTTAATACAAGATGTTACTGAGGTCAAAAGCCAGATTCCACTTCCAAAAGAAGGAAAATAAGCTTTAAAGTCAACACGAAATAAAAAGTGACCCTATTTACCTTTTTAATAAATGTTCCTGATCTCATTTTTAACAGTACTTCAGTACAAGTAATTCAAAACAACAACATTTTTCTTTTTCTTTTTGGCAACTTTTTTTCTGCAGTCCAACCCTTGTCCTCATTAAATAATCTGTTTTACTCATATATGAGTCACATTAAAGGAGTCAAATAGATAGTCAGTGCTATTTCATGTTGACTTTAAACTGTAGGGCCTGTAGCACATTTAAAACTCCTTGAAGAGTTACTTCTCTCCTGAAATACACACACAGTTAACACATATATCCCTCTCAGTGTGGGGCCACTTCTTTAGGCTCTTGGGGGTAACGTGCATACGCACTCTTTCATTCTCATTAAAGCTGTCTCCACTCAGGACCCCTCACGAGTCCCTCGCAGGACCCCTGACGGTTATCCAACCAGGAACACAGGCTCTTGGATGAAAGAATACACCTGCCGAGAAGCTTGAGGCACACATGCATGAAATGCAGGATACATATAATGCATTTCCATGCTTAACGAGAGGCGTAATGTTGAGAAAGACCTGTGGGTGCTGTGGCTGAGAGCTTTCCACTGGTACAACCTCCTCCTGAGCGCCGCTGTACTGTAACACTTTCCCGCTGTCTGTTCGCTTTTCTCTCATTAGCAGCCTCCTTTGAGCACACCTCCTCCGGCTCTGCAGGGCATTGCGCTGGTGTTAGAAAATTTCCGCTACCCAGCACAGGGGCTGAGGTGAGGCTCCTCCGCTGTCAATGTGGCAGTTAACACAAGTAGCCAGACCTCCCATGAGGAGCTGCTTACGTTGGCTTATTTGACATCGAACGTCAGCCATTTAGCACGATGGCATTAGCCGCGGCTAAAGAAACAAGCACTGTTGTCGCATATTTTTGCTAACTAACTAGTTTAAGTCTTCAGACACGGTGGTGACAGAAACCGGTGGCTGCTTATAAAACACATATTAGAGTCAACCTACATTTCGGGAAAACTAACCTAATAAAGAGCTTCCATGGCAGTAGCTTATACATGTCAAACACAGCATGATCGCTTCCTAACTCAATCAGACTCATTTGCTGAGCGTCAGTGCCTCCTCAGGAATGAGAGTTAAAAAGAAGGTTGAAGAGAAAAAAAGACAACAGGAGCGTTAACGCATCAGAGTTAGACCAGGTCCTGTGCACAGGAGCGGCTAACCCAATTGGCTGTGTAATTGTTTAATTTGTCTCATTACACCTAAATGAATGTAATTGGTGTTTTTCCTGCATGAAGTGGCCGCACTAGTTGTGTGAACTAGGCTTTGTGCAGCACTGCGGATGACGGTGGGGGAGTCTCTCATTACATGTTCCCAATTGATATGAGCACTCACTTTATATTACTAAGAATATTTCAGGCAGCATTTAAGAGGTTCTAAGGATGAAGTATGTAATTTCTGCACAATTAGCGTTATCAGTTGTTTATTATGAAAATGTTAGCACCTTATTGTGTACAATTTTCAGGATAACCAACTTATCAGCATATTTCATTGAAATTGAAGTAACAAAATTGCATGTTCAACCTATATCTTTGTGGTGTCTCTAAGTTGACCTTAAAATATTGACTTTTGGACAGACAATAAGGAATATTTGTGTGTCTGTGTGCATGTTCTGACTGTGGGTATGTTCCGTTTTCCTGGAAAGAAAACAGCAAGGGAGAGAGTGTGCTAGACAGACATGTCTAACATGCTCATTCAACTCCTATTTGTAAGTAAAGATTCGGGCCATAGGATCAACAAGACATTGAGTGAGAGAGAGAGAGAATGATGAGGGAAATTCAACCTTAAAAGAAGGATGCACAGAAAATTCTCCAAAGTGCTATATGTTCAACAAGGAAGCCAAAAGGAGGGAAATTAGCAGATACAAAGTGTTATACGTGTCCATTTCTACCTCTACTTCCTCTCCAAGTGCAGAACAACTGTGTGTTACCTAAGAGACTGGCCCTGAGCAGCATATAACAGCCTGGTGTGTGCCCGTGTATGCGTGTCTTGGTGTGTTTGAGTGTGTGGGGAAGGCTTCTCTCAGCCCGGTGGTTGGCAGCTAATGGGAGTTATTTGAGGAAGGACACACGGGCAGAGGAGCAGATGGGCGCTGCGTTATGCCCACCTACAGCGGGCGGCTGACGCACCTCCTGCACTCACACCTAATGGGGGCCTAATAAAAGGCTGGCTGTGCAGACACAGGCTCGCCACTCAATTTCATTAGCCGCTAATCAGCCAAAGGTGCCCTTGGCTCACGGAAAAGGACCGTTCGCTGGAAAAAAATGAGAGGCATACTTAGAAAAAAAGAACGAAGGGCATGAGTGAGAAAATGGACATGCGTTTGCAATTGGAAAGAGCAGGGTTGTTGTTTTGGTGGGGTTCGAAAATGCCACATTTGTCTGGAATCCGCGATCAGGCATGGAAAAGAGAGATCAAGCATCAGTCATGTGACCTCAATGCAACTCTTTATTGGTCTAGACTTTGAACAGGTTCCAACTGTTTTTTTCTCCATAGAATATTTGACTTGTAAAGGTTACATATAAAAACAAACCTACTGTAAGAGCTGAGATTAACTAATAATTTCCACAATTTCTGGTCTAAAACTACACTACACATAATCCTGAGTGAGCTAAGTAAGCTATGCCTTGAATCCAACATTAAGATGAATCATTGTTACTGTGGAGAACTGTGAAAAGAATTGGTCCCACTTTATATTAGGTGGCCTTAACTACTATGTACTTTTAAATTAATAATTTAATACAGTAGAATAGAAAAAATAGAAAGCTAGTGTTTGTTTGTTTTTTGTTGTGAGTACATTGTACTTATTTTTTCATGTAAGTACATGGTAGTTAAGGTGACCAAAGAATTTAGCAGCAAACTTCTGTAAAGCATTGTGAATGATGTAATTAAGCAAACATTCCTACATGCTCAGGTAATTTTATTGCAAAAAAAAAAACTTTCTACATATAATCAATCATTTCAAGATTTTAATATTGTAATGATTTTTTTTTAAGTACTTTATTTGTTAAACTTTTTCCTTTTTCAAAAACGTAACACTCCATAACATATTATATATGTATACTAATACAATATAACCAAAATGGTTACCCCATACCACCCTATGATTACAGTTTTTAAATACTTTTAATACTTTAATACTTTGGTTGAAATCCCAATGGAGGACATGAATGGGAAAAATATTTACAGACCCAAAGCTGCTAAAAGAAGTGGCTTACGGTCCCTGTTGAGCTCTATTAGGGCCATGATAACTCGCCCTAAATTGACATCCCACAGTTGTCATGAAGGAACACTCTCATGAACATGAGACAACATTGATGGCTAAAAAAGGAAGCTGTCAATGTTTAACCAGGTGTATAATAAGCCGAGACACTTAATAAAGAGACTCAGGAAGTAGATCCATGTATGCAAAAGCAGATTGTCCGCACGTGTTTGTTTGAGCGTGTGCGCAATTTCGATTGTATCCACCAGGGACAGTCCTTTCGTACTGACACCTGCACCAGACTGGCAGTCATCGCAGGCTCTCTGTAAAAGTTAATGGCCTATGCCCACGTCCACGGGGCTAATATTAAGTGCCAGTCTGCAAGTACAGTGCGTGTGCGCTAACGCTGCTATCCAGGCGCAAATTAATTATTAGTTATATGGCTATGTGTCCCCTCTAAAGCGCGAGGTCACTGAGGCCCGCCTTTAATTGCCGGAGCATATGGCTGGAAACAGATTTTAGCGGTGGGACTCGTTCTTAACCACCGTCCTTGCGCGCATTCTCAGATGTGAGCCATATTGTCAATGCTGGCAGCTATTGTTTCACTCATTTACTTCTTAGAGCAAATTACTCCCTAATAATAGCTCTACCTTGAGTTTTTCTCTCCTCCGTGCCAGCAAACCTGTTCACACTGCATATGTTAATTATCTGCACATCTTCATTATGTTCAAAAAGCTTTAGGTTCAAGCTGTGCCGCCTGGCGAGAGGCTCTGACTCAGTTTGGTGCCAACTTTCCACTTTTTCCCTTTCCGTTTGTTTCTTTCAGCATTTTTTTCTTTCTTGCTCTCTATCTCTCTTTCTTTTCATATCAACTATGAAAGTTGCAAAGTTAGCCACTCTCTTCTTATCCTTGACAGGTTTTTTCCCTTTTTCTCTTTTGCCATCAATTTTTCTTAAGGCTGATTAGGTGGGGGGTTTTAAGGTTCTAGCTGTATTTTTTGTATGTTTTATGTATAAATAGATAAACAGTTATTATGTATGGTTTTTTTTTTCTATCATGGAGCTAGTCTATAGGACCAGTCTACAGAGAGCATTTTTGTCTCATTTGACATTTATCGGTTGTAAAAAAACATTCAGACCCAATTAACAGGACAGATTCCTCTGTTTTCTAAAAGTTTTTAAAAGCTTTTCAAGTAAGCCATTCTTCCGACCAGAGAGTTCAATGAGCCAGTATGGAATTCCTCAGCCAGCTGTTGGCTGATTAATAGAGCTTTACAGAGATTGCAGCTGGAGTTGACACTTTTGTCGTAAGTTTTCTGGAATATTCCAGTTTTCATGTACGTTAGACAAGAAGGGATTCCTTCTATTATTGTTTAGGTGCAACTATTACAAATTTAACGGCAACCCATCCAATCCCTACAGTTGAGGTACTTTGTTCCAGTCCAAGATTATTCTTAAGTCTTCTTTGTTTCAGCCCTCTACTTTTAAATACGTCATGCGTTCCTGGTCCCAGCCAAAGTGAGAGATGCTTTGCAGGTGATGTTAACCATTAAAGGCCTTCAATTTAAATCTCCTTTGAAAGCAACTATAAAGTTTGATCCTATTGTTCTCTAATTCATGATGCATGTCAGCTGGATGCATCAAACTGCATTAACTGGCCTGAAAATGTCAATATCAGCCTCACCTACTCTGCGTGGGTAATGCTATTTGCTACATTGATTGAATAGAGAACAGCATGACGGTGTGTTCGAACGCTTTGAGGAGATCCACGAGCCTCTAATTCCATATGCACCCACACACACTTGCTTACATGTCTATGCGTTTAAGAGAAGAGCGTGTGCTTGTAATTTGCCACAAAACATTCCTTGCTCAAAACCACCAGAGAACACAAACACACACGTGCGCATTGGCTAGCACACGCTACTGTGGCCACAGAGCTGTAGCTCATGGTGAGGAGACACAGGCAGAACTAGAGGAGCATATGTCCAATTAGGACGGGAAGTTAGAGCCGCACCAGCCCGTGGGGGGTCCTGTGAAATGCAACAATAAAACGCCACTGCCTCCTGATCTGGGAACAGGAGGCCTGCCGTTTGTGGTTAACCAAAATGGAGGAATGATTGCTCTGTGGTAGGAATTCAAAAACCCTCAGCCTCTGTTCATCTTAACACGCGACTGCTGTGATAAAGTGCCTCCTCTGCTCTCGGAGCATGTCACTTTCATATATACAGTATTTTCACTTTTGGAGCTTTTGTGCTTTTATCGTCAGTAGAACCATCTGTCCTCTTCTTTTTTGGGCCTGTGTGTCTCAAGACTCTCCCTTTGCCAAAGTCTCTTCCTCCTTTTTTTAATCTTGGAAACCTTGTGAAGTGGTGTGGCGAGTTGCAGAGCATGGTCCTCTGCAGAAATGGAGGCCAGCTGTTGCCAGAGCGTGAAGAAGCTCCTTCACATGACAATAATCAAGGGGACCAACTATCCCAAGAGCCACCCGTCCACACCTCACTTGTCCTCAGGTGACAGTTGCTGGACAAGCACATTGTTTAAACTCTCCCTAGGAGTAAACTAGCCAGACAAAGGGTGGTCCCCTTGCAAATTATTCTAGCCAGAAAACATCAATTTAGACAGGAAGTCTAACTGACATGTAAAGCAGCCAACTACAAGTCGTTGTACAAAATATGAAATAGATGATGCCAATTCATGTCCAATTTGGCATTAGCTGGTCAGTGATCAAACTGCAGGTGGTCTGAAAGATTTTCTTCATAGTTGACCTGTTTTGGCTAGACTCTTTGTTTGTGACCAACAAAGTTTTCTTTCTATCTCTTCAGCAGGTCCAGAGTCAGTTGCCTCCACTGATGATACCCGTGTTCCCTCCAGATCAGAGAACTCTGGCGGCCGCTGCAGCACAACAAGGATTTCTACTTCCTCCAGGGTTCAACTACAAACCAGGCTGCAGTGAGTATTAAAGCAGCATTTCAGTGATGGGTTGTAAAATGAAAAACTTCAGTCCAGTTTATTGTTCACACTAGAGATTTCAAACCAGATTGCTGAAAGTGGAGTCTTCAACCCAATGTTGGGCAGCATCTCCCTCCTGTCTGGTGTGTTATTAAGATCAGCCTACACCACTGATGCCCGTCATCTCCTGCACATGACAGACTCTCAGACTAGACAAACTCACTTGCTTTTGTGTCTCTGTATTTCTTGTTCAAAAGTAGGAACAGGAAAAAAAAGAAAACTTCCTCTGGGGTTTGTGTTTTTGGCCGTAGCAGTCCAACTGTGAAGCAATGTGTTGTTTACCGCGAGAAACGAGGCGGCAAGTGCCAGCAGCGCAGCAGCAGAACGCTCGCGCTCTCACGGGGGGGTAGAGTGACCTGCCCCAGGTTTCTTCATATTAACACGGGCGGCCGCCAGAACACGCATCCAACACGCCTCCGACTCCTCTCCAACTGTACGCGTGCACACACACATTGCATAGATGGCACACTCATACACACTCATGAATGTACATCTCCCTTGTGAGACGGACCGGTCCGCATCTCCAGCTCCGCACACTGCGCTTCGCAGTTTCCCAAACAAGTCCCCACTCCCTCTTCCTCCTCTCGAAGGCCCCCTCTCTACCAACCATACACCCTCTATTTCAATTACAGCCAGCAGCACCATCAAACCCTGCCCAAAATTTCAATTACGCATGTCATTTAGTTACCATTACAGTGCCCGCTCACGAGGGAGGAAGCCGTCGTTTGAACCCCTTAAAACCAGAGCGGAAAAAAGGGGGATGAAATCCCTTCGGTCGCAGGGTCTGGACTAAGGGGACGCTGGTTCCCACCCATTGCTCCCCGGAGCCAGGCCACGGAGCTCTTCCAGTCAGTCTGAAGATGCTGCCTCCTCGCCAACAGCAACATGTTTACTTTCCTTAGTTTTGCTCTTTTGTTACAGCTGTACCCGGGAGAGACATAAAATAGCTGGAATATTTGTGTTTGTTTAGGGACTGAGAGAAAGACGAGAAAAAAAGACAAAACACACACATCTCCCCAGAATACATCCTTGAACCGTGTCCAGGGCAATTTCTAGCTTAGCGGATGAGTATTTTGGGGGGGAGGGAAGGAGTGTATGGGAAAAAAGTTTTGGACCCACTGATGGAGCGTCTGGTTTATTGCTTACTAAGACAAGCTCCGACTTCCTCTACAAACCCCCTTTGACAGATACTCTGGAGCATCCAAAAGTGAAGCCTTCTGCCTTGCTGCCCAATCAACAAGTGCATTTACATGCACTTTAAAAGTTACATTTCAGTTGGAATGAAGCAGAAATGCGGTAATTAAATGTATTAATTAATTTACTTTCATCAGATGCCATTTTAATTCCTTCCACCAACTGCCAAACTGCATGCACAGAATGGTGAGATATCATAGATGAAGGGCACGTCAATGCTGGCTTCAAAACACGCACTCCAAAAATTATTGATTCTTCAAGAATAACAGAATTATGCTGTCACTTATCTGATACATTTTAAGACTGTCTATCTGGATATTGAGCAGATGCATCTTCTGCCCCTCTTTCTCAGGGGCCATTTACATTATGTTTTCAGCCAAAAACGGGGAACTTTTTATGCGTTTTGCCTGTTCTTTTACACGACAATGGCGTTTTGGGGACTGAAAATGCATATTTTTGAAAACGGGTTTCAAAGTGCACGTTTTTGAAAACGCCACCGTTATTGTTTCCGTGTAAACACCCAAAACGAGAATCTTTGAAAACTGTGACATCATGCGCGTGCGTAGTACGTGTTAGGTATGTAGACATGTGCAGTACGTGTCGATTTTAAAGGCAAGCGCGAACAAACCTGTACAACAATGGCGGAGTACATGGTTCTGTTGTTGCTGCTCAAGAGTTTGTTAACGCTTCTTCAGCAAAGTGTTGATTTACTTCACCAATATTACAACCAATAGCGGAGAGGCATCATATACAACATAATCGTCACTTCCCTACAGGTACTGTTTACTAACAAGGTGACAGCGCCAACTACTGGCCTGGCATACGTAATACAGCATTTTTGGCCGTTTTCGCGGATGTGTAAACTCGAATCGTTTTGAAAACGTCATGTATAAACCTTTTAAAAACGCAAGGGGAAAAACTTTTCCTTTTTTGACTACATTGTTGTCGTGTAAACGTAGCCTCAGAGTGCCTCTTCCAACCTCTCCTCCCTTTTCAACCAGCATCATTCCATTGTTCGTCACACTTTAAACTCAAAAAGCTGCAGAACAGATTTAGGGCACACTCATGGTTTCTCATGTAACAGGCCTTTTCAGCGTGATGCTGATAAACCCCCCGCCCCCCGCCCCGAACTGGACTGACCTTTACCTCTCGGTCGTGTAATTATAAAGCCCATATCTGCAGGTGGATGCTAATAACTCTCGCTATTCACTCCTCATGTTCTGATTCATGTCTCTAACGCAGAGGCTCTTGTGCGGGGCCCGAGGAGACAGGGCACTGACGTTACCTCGTTAATTACCGTCCTCTCCTTATCATGCCTTAGCCTTCAACTGCTATTGTGCTCGGGGTATTAGAGCTGCTGCCACACAATCAGCCTTTCATTAGAATGGAGGGGGGACTTCACAATGGAGGTCTTTACTGACAGAAGAGAAAACAGTGAATCTGTCGCTCCATCGAAGGAGAGAGGGGGATGGGGCCCAGAGCCTGGCCAGAAGTGTGGGGAGATGAAAGGGATGGGTGATGTGTAAAAAAAAAAATCTAAAGATTCTGACATGCCTATAATGCTCTCTTCCTCAGGTGACCCTTACCCTTTACAGCTAATCCCTACGACTATGGCAGCGGCTGCTGCGGCGACGCCTGGCCTCGGCCCTCTTCAACTGCAGGTAACGTCCATCTTGTGGTTTTGTTTGTTTCTGCGTGTTCCTGTGTGTGTGTGTGTCCGTGCTTTTGCTGTGGCGACTCTGTGCATTTTTCCCAACCTTTCAAACAAAATCTCTTTTTCTCCCCTCGTTTTTTTCCCCCCTTTTTTGTGATCCCGATAGAGAACAACAATGCCCACTGTTCTCCTCAACTCTTTTCCTCATGCCAACTGCAAGTTGCCATAGAAATGGGCCTTTGTGAGGGGCCGGAGCCCAGAGAGAGAATGCCGCACTGCTGGCTCTGGGGTGCTGATATTGTTCACTGTGGAGCGAAGGGTACCATAGAAACTGAAAGGGGGACAGAGCACAGAGGGACACTGAACAGAGAGCAAACACAAAAAGATATTATGGGCTGTCTGAATAGAGTCAAACCCTAATGCAGCCTCACTGTGCTGCTCTGAAATGGAAAACGCAGTAAACATGCATCTCCACGTCTGTCCTTTTTCCTCTTCCTCCCTAGTTTGGTCTCTGGCAGGAGGAGAAGAGGGGGGTGAAGAGCATAAATCACACAGATGAGGGGGAATAGAGGTGCACATCTGCTACAACACTGTGTTTGTGTAAGAATATTGTATTCCGACTCACTCTGGCCCAGTATGGACGGGCTGCATTGAACCCCTTGTCACCAGGTTAAGAGCCTGGCTGTTTGAGATGCATTAACCTGGGGGCCCACAGGGTCCGGGACCGGCCCATCCTCTCTGTTACCTCCCTCAGGCATTAAAGAGCCTGGCTAAGAGGCCAAATTCACTATTAGCAAAAATAGATGCACGTTAGAGTTCATTTTAACAGGGCTTTGCACATACTTACACACATGCAAAGATCACACACCTGCACATCTGTATCACAGATTAAGCATATGTAAGAGGTATAAGTGGCTCTCACACATAGGTGCTTGCACCGAAACAGGTGGTATTCCCAGGTGCCCTCTGGATAACAGGTAATAGAACAGGATATTTTTTCTGGGGGGGGGGTTTTAAACCTTCGCTGTCTGTGCACTCACCCCGCTGTGCTCCGTATGACTGGCTTACTGTGAGAATCTTGTCCCGTCTGATTTTATCTGCTTCAGAGCTTGTCTCCATATGTTCCTTCGTGTTAAGATTTAAAAAATCCCAGATTGAACAGCTTTGTCAGGCACAATTGGATTTCGCCAGAAAAACAACTGGGGAAAAAAGCAACAACAACAACATCCAATGCCACTGTTCTCTCATTCCAACCTCAAATCTACCTTGCAACACACACACACACTCGCAGAGAGAGAGATTACGGCTTTGTCACAATGAAAATGATTTACTAAGGCTAACCTAAATACAGATGTCTCAGACAGAAGCACGTTGGATTTCCTCTGGGACAATCGGCACGTCTGCATGTCTCATCTTTACACCCCCCCAACACGATGAGAGGCCCAAAATATTTGCTTTGGTCACTTCACAAGCCGTTGTTCAGTGGTTCACGCACTCAGCCCAATGAGCTCACACTTTCAAATGCGGGTACGAATCTGGCTTGCAAGACTAGAAATACTACAATACTATTTACATTTGCATTTATGCATTTGGCAGTCATTGCATTTAAGATTCTATCAGTTTGCATTTCCTAGCAGTTCTACATTCCTAGCCTCATGGCCTTTCTAGCATCATACTGTTTGAGCTAGAGGAATGCTTATATATATATATATATATATATATTAGGGGTGTAACGATACACATTCGTATTGAACCGTACGGTACGAGGCTTTCAGTTCGGTACGCATTACAAACCGAACGATTCATTGGACTAATCGATCCTATTACATATGGAAAATAAAAGAGCTTGAAGTGTGAAATATAATGTTCTCAGTGCCACTGCGCTCAACAAGACAGCCCAAACGGCGTAACAGGCAACGTGCTGTCTGCCCAGTGGCGTAGCGGATGGCCCCGTGATAACCTCCCCTTGCTGGGGTGTGTCGAAAGACGATGTTCTTGTATCAATGATAGCCAGAGATTTTGTCAAAAACATCAATTATTGCCAATATTAAGAGGATTTGGCATTTCCAATTAATGTAGGCCTGTTACATTCTTATTTTTATTAGGCCTATTATTATTATGAAGTTACTTTTATTATTAAATTAAAATTAATATGCCCCGCAATAATTACAGCATAACTGACGCGCTGCAGGGATAACAAAAGATATTTAGCCTACTCCTCAATTAAAATGTTTTTAAAAATGGTCTTTTAAGGTCTACAATGAATTATATGCCTATAATTTAAATATTAACACTGTAGTCATCGATAAAAATCAATGAAATGAAAAGCTTTTATTCCAAGCACTGACTTTTAAAAAACAACTTGTTTAACACAAAATACGTTTCTTCTTATTTTTTTTCACTATGTACGGGCCACAAGAGAAATATTAAGGGAATAAATTAAAACAGTTAGCTATATACCGTTATCAGCATATGTTGAAGTAGATTCGTCTCTGAGAGAGAATGTGGCGTCAGATGCTGAAAGCTCCGTCATTACTCCGTCAGTCCGTTTTTACTTTCACTTTCTGCATATAGTGAATTGACTGAGATTAAGACTCTTGCACAAAGTCTGAACGTTGCCTGTGTGATATCCTAATGTATGATTACATTATATATGTATGTGTACTGTGTATATTTATTATGTATAAATACACACATACAGTATATATTTTGAAAATATTTACGTTTATACATTTATATATTCATATTCTTATATTTTATATTACATATAAATATATTTAATATATAAACAACAGATTTTTCTTAAATATATACATGCATGTGTTGTATTTATATATATATAATAAATATACACAGTATACACAAATATTATGTAAACAAAAACTTTTATTTTGGATGTGATTAATCGCGATTAATCGTTTGACAGCACTAATATATATATATATATAAAATTAAATATAAAACAAGCTGTTTACCACTGCCAGGGCATTAACGTTTTTATAGAAAATATTTTAGTTTGTTATAGAAAAAAAAGTTATGCTCAGAGTTCAGAGATTCCATCAAAACATTATAACAGGCACCTTCCGAGTAGAGACCTGCACGATTGCGGGACCCAACGCAGAGTGCGGCGCGGGACAACACTTGATGGGCGAGTACGGCCTGGTAGACTCGTGTGTGTGGGATGCGGGTGAATAAGGGTGTATTCACACTAAGAAATCTTTACTGTGCCCGAGCGCGTTTGACCCCCAAAGCCCGGTTCGTTTGACTAGTGTGATCACTCCGTGCTGTGCTCAGGCATGGTTCGTTTAGCCGTCCCTGGCTCAGTTGGAAGAGGTGGGCCACAAAGTGGCCACAAAAAAACCCAACAAAGTTAACAAAACGATGCATTCCACTGTACTGAGCGAGAGTGCTTCTCTGCTGTCTTCACGTGCTATCGGAAACTTCCTATTTCCCACTTATGAAGTCGTGATTACAAGCACGTTGCATTCTTTTCTGTTAAAAATAACAGTAAACAGTGGTTTGTAAATGTTTATGCTTAGCCTAAATAATTTTATTGGGAGCGCTTCATGTGAGCGCTGCTGCAGTCTAGGCCCACCCCAAATGCTCTCTTTGGTTGAGACGTGTGATGACGCTCATCCCAGAAATATGTAACTGATCGAACAAAAACAGTGGAGATCTGACAAAAACAGGTCTCAGAGAGGTGTTTATTACAAATAAAAATTCAAATGAAAGCACATCGAGTTGGCAGAGTGCGAGGGTCGTGGCGGGATGCTCATCCATCATGCACGTCGGTGTTGGACGACCAAAAGAAGTAAGAAATAATTAACATCAGCGGTCACGGTGATGATGAGGCGAGCACCAGTGAAGTGATCGCGGCCGCGCATCTCGTTTCTCATGCCCGCTCCGTGTGTCTGCTGGGCGGCGATCAAACGGACAGGGCAGCGCTTTTCACGAGCGGAGATCGCTAC